AGCAGAAACCAGAACCATTACCCTGTTCACACACCGAAAAGTAACATAGAAGCAGAGAAACACCGAATGCACGAGAGAGAAATGAGGCGAAACAGGAGGTTTTCGGCAAAGAATCGGAATTTGGAGTGGATGGAGTGAAACCGCTACGGATCTGAAAGTAGGAAGGGAATCGAAGGTTTGAATTTGAAGGTGGTTTTGAAGGTGGGGTGATTTGAATTAAGGTGGTATAAAAAGTTGTTATTTTAATGGATAAAGGAAGGAGATTAATGAATCTTTAAACCCAATTTCCCACTCTCTAAACACTCACCTCCCACACCCCTAAGGAAAAAACCACCATTTCTTTCCTTGCTGCTGCTGAAGTTCAGAGGCCTCCTGAAGAGCATAGCACTACCGCGATCCCCGTGCTATCGCATTGCCACGTCTCTAGACCGCTAGTCGATGTGGTAGATGTGCTCTCTTATCATAACATCAATTCACAGATAAATATTCTGAAACGCACTGCCACTTTCTTCATATATCTGAGTCATACTACACTAGGGCGGTACTCGCAACGAACACATATTTCAAAAGACCACAGACCTACTGTTCGGAGTGAAGATACTGGAATGTGAAAATTATCAAATTTTATGATGACATCAAAAGTGAAATGTGAAATACTAAATTATGATACCATAAAAATTATCAAATTATGATACCATCAAAAGTGTTTTGTTTTCTTTAAACTGATAAACTGTAATCAAATTTTCGTCTATAAACTGATCAAATTTGCTCTATAAACTGAATCTCCACTCGCGAATTTGAACAGGCGAAATTTAAGATCGAACACATCTCAGCCAATTCTATCCACAAAATTTCTACTGGGAATTGAACAGGCGAAAATTTATCTCAGTAGAAAATTTCAAATGTGAAATAAAACCAAAATCAAGTAATTTGATTTATTTATCTCATATACCTAATGACAACACAGTGAGAAGGCGAAATTTCTATTCCACTCCATTTTTAAATAAAACCAAAATCAAATTTCTATTCCACTCCATTTTCTTTAAACCCTAGTTACTTACTTCAGAGAGAAGGCGATTCTTGGGAAGAAGTTTGGGGACTTCAGGAGGTAGAACCACATGTCTGCAAAATCAACAAATCAATAACCAAAGAAGTCGAAATTTCCAATTTTTTTTTTTTCCATCAATCCGATGTGGCAGCGCCGACGCCGGCAAGGCGAGAACTACTGAACGCCAGATCAACATAATTAAAAATAAGAGACAACAGCACGTAATCAACATAATTATGTTGGGGTGTGCTAGATACCATTGCAGTATTGTTATATTGCATATTGAATCCATATCCCTGGGGTGGACCAGTTTGCCAGCCCGAAACTGGTACAGAAGATGGATAAGTTGCAGCGAATAAATTCTGCATATAAAATATAATTCATTGTAAGATACTTATCAAAAAAGAACAATAAATTGTAAGATGTGGAAAACCATGAACAAAACCAAAAGGAACACAAAAAGTAAGAGGATGGAGCAAATATGTAACTCCATCATCACCTCTGGAAGTTCTGTTCTCCCACTTGGTTTAACTTCCATGAAGAGGATTGTGAAGTGACGTCTGGGGCAGGTTTTGAAAAAGCCTGCGATATTTGTGCAGATGGTATACTCGAAGGACCTTGTGGATTTGAGGCAATAGACAAATTCCATGGCTGCAAAAATAGCATAGTGTATTAGGTAAAACTTAAAAATACTACAATAACCATAGCGGAGTTGTATAACTGGATGAAAGAAGATAAGCCATGAAGCACACCTGATTGTTTGAAGATCCACTAACTGGTGGAGTGAATGGCTGAGCAGTAGGCTGACTACCAGTAGCAGGAAATAAAGAAGGTTGATGAGGAAGCATGTTGGGCCACTGCCCTCCATCAGCAACTTTGACAAAAGAATTTGCACCGTTTGATGGCAATCCCGATGAAAATGTTGTCGATTTGTTTGCTGTTGCAGCTACTGGAGCACCAACCCCAAGGGGGGGACATGGATACATGCCCAACAGGTGCTGCCACTGGAGTATTAACAGGGGGAAAATTTGTCAAGTTGTCTACCGGCACAGCTGCTGAAGCATTATCACCAAAGAGTTCAATGTTTACTGGGTTAACCCCTGCCAACGCCTGGCGTGAAAACTCGTTGTCACACAGCCATGCAAATCTATCCCCTGCAAAATCGATAAATAATCAGATGCAAAGTGTTTCCGAAATTAAAACTCAAATTATCCTTTAATTAGAAGTGGTCTGAAACATGGGTGTGAAATCATACTGTGGATACCATTGCAGTGGTCTGATCGGAACGCCAGATCTCAACCTTCTTCCGAAGATTGATCAGATCAAGCCCTAGATCGAACACATCTCAGCCATGCTATACTGTAATGCTATCTGATCTCGACCTCCTTCCGTCCTTCAGCAATGCTATCTGATCTCAGATCGGTTGTGAAGCACAGTAGAGAGAGAGAGAGAGAGAGAGAGAGAGAGAGAGGGAGTTGAGGATAACGTTTGGGTAGAGGCAGGCGTGTTTGGTAGGCGTGGGAGAGAGAGCAGAGGCTGTTTGGGCGGGAATCAAACACATCCCAACCATTGATATATATTTGGAATTGATCTCAGCCATTGAATCAAAATGTATCTCACATACATTTTGATTCATTTTTCAAAAAGCTTTGTGCCTTATTATATAGATATAGATATATATATATATATATATATATATAGAGAGAGAGAGAGAGAGTAACATTGTCAACAACGAGCGAAGGATCATCTGTTATGCTTGCCATGAACGTACTTGAGTATTCCCACAGATGGCACCAATTGTAGAGAGGTGGTTTGGAAATACTCCTGAATTCAGTCTGACGTCCCTGATCATTTGATCATTACCTGAAAAAGGGATGAACACTCCGGTTCCCACAGACGGCGCCAATTGTACGGGGAGGAAATAATTCTCCTCGTATAATCCTGTTGACCAAGTCCACGCTCCTCCGTACGACGTCGCTTTGTCACCTGAAAACACAAACGTGAGCTAGCCGGCGGGTGTGTGCCGGAAACCTCTCCGATGCCTAAGTCAGAAAACTTGACAAATAGACAAAGCTCTATGTTCTCAGAAAAAATTGTGTTCAATTACCTCCTTCAAGGTGGTGCTTGTGAGCTTTTATAGGTTTCGAGTGGCATAATCCTAGTAGGACTTTTATTTCTCCATGCAGAGTCCTCCTAGGATTCATACTCCTGAGGATAATGCTTATCCTTTTACACCCTCCCCCACTGCTTAAACCAAGTGGGATGGTTTCCTCCATGGCCGAACTACCATTTAACCGAAATAAAAACTGGCTATGTAGAGCTACAGAGAAGGCCGAACTATCCTTAGCTCGGATTTCTCCTCCAACTCCTTATCTCGACTTTCCCCTGTTCAACCATGGTGGTTTAGATCAATCTTCCAAGTAGCAAGTTTGGACCGACCTAACCATAATACGTCACGACCGGACTAAATGCAAGGCCGGACTCACTTCAAACTGCCACCGGACCGGAGTTGCTTTGCACATTCTTGAACCGGAGTAACCACACCCCTCCTGGGCCGGAATAACTTTACTTCTCCTGGGCCGAAATAACATTACGGCTTCTTACCGATTCCTTCATACTCTGGGTCGCAGGGCCCAACTCACAGCTCGGCCCAATTCTTTCCCAAAAAATTACCCTCTCAATTGCCCCTTAATTTCATCTGCATAGCATGATTGAGATTACAGATCCTTCAACCGAGCTGAAGTTCTATAAGCCTTTCCAGCCGAGATAAAAACCCTTCAATGTATCCAGCCGAGCTAATTTTACTCCGAACTCTGCTTTATCCGGTCAAAACGTCTCTTCAATCGCGACTGTAACGCTTCCCTTTCCCTTGCCACGTGGCGGGCTCTGATAGGCCGTGAGCTGTCATCACGCCGCCTTCGTACTTCGAACTTTTTGAACAGTCCCTCCCCTTTTTGCCGCGTTTTTCTCTCTCTTCTTTCACAAAACAACCCTTCTTTTTCTTGGATCATTCACCTTCCATTCTTCATCTCCTCTTTCTGTGTTCTTGCCGTTCGTGTTCTTCCTTTACTTTTGAGAACTGATTTTGCTGCCACTTTCCCATCATCAGATCCCACTTCTTCCACCTGGTAAGTAGACTTACTTTGCTTCCTTTATTTTGCTTTCGCATCTGTATATCTTGTTTTGTATGTTTTTTGCAAACATTTTCTTTCATTTTTGACGCTTCGCTTTTGTACTTTCACGAAAAAACAATAGCAGAGCTTATATATGCATGAACTCTTGTAAAAAACTTGCCTTAGATCCAAAACTAGGTAGCAACCGAACTAGGATCCTGTTTGCCCCAAATAGGTAGATCACTATAGTCAATAACCGGACTAGAACTTGAAAGTTTCAAAGGGTTTCCAGAGCCTGACTCACTTTAGCCGAAATAAGATCACCGAGTTTTGAATATATCAAACTAGGAACTTAGGTTTTCAATCGAACTAAGCTTTCGGGGCCAAGCCGGCTTTCTTAGTTCTTAAACCGAACTCAGAAAGCCGCCCCTAGAGGCTTAACCGAAGTAACTTTATTCACACCGCAACCTATTTAGGCCTTGGGGCTAAACCAACTTTTTTAGTTTTTTTTAGACCGAACTCAGAAAGCTGCCCCTAGGCGTTAAACCGGTCTACCGAGCAAACTGCTCAAACCGAGCTACCAAACCTTTTGATGAACCGAGATAGAACCAGTTTCTTGAGGCCGAAGTAGGGCTCTTATACCTTGCTTTTAAATTGTAGAACGGTCCATTGATCAGTGCTTTAACCCCCTCTGTTTTTTACTTTGCAGACTTAGGTTACCCAGGCACTCCTGCGTGCGCTCAACCGAGCTACTGAGCACGATTTTTTCACCGATATAAATTATAAGTAAATTATTCATCAGATGGGTAAGTATAGGTATCTAGTTGAGACCCCTGGTGGCATGGCCGAATTTAGGAAAGATTGCTAAATTCCTGATGACGTCCATCTGACGCTGGCCAAAAAAGATGTTAT